TGGTGCTGCGGCGCCCCGAGGTGCGACCGTGGCACGGCGCGGAGTTATCTTCAAAAGCTCCGCGTGTGGAGGGCTGAAGCCAGCACCTGCCAGCACCTTTTGGAGTAATTTTATTTTTCAGCAAGTCGTGTGTGCGCTGTGTGTTTCGCCCAATGTTGCAGCACGGAGACTAATTTTTTTTTTTTTATCAATTAAAATAGAAAAAATTTGTTATGAGTCGCGATAAAAAAAATACCGGAACAGAATGCACTGTAAAAGGAGGACGTGAAGCCGCTTTGAAAAAAGTTTTCTTGATCTGTAGGGCTTTACTAATAGAAAATATTTTACTTAGGTTTGTTGGCTTTGGTTTTCATGAGAACTTAAAATACACAGAAGTCTGCTCCCACCTGGAATTGTTTCCATGGCGGCATGCTGAGTCCCTGCTGAAAGATGGCAGTTCAGACTAGCAGTAATTGTATGATGTCTATAGACATATCTCTTTAAATTTCAGTTGAATGTATCCTGTAGGGAGGTATTGAAATATAGAGTCTTAAATCTAAGAATATTCTGAAAGGAGGTAAAGCACTGCCTGTGCGTAAAAAAATCTGATTGTTTAAAAAAAGCAGATATTTTGTAATGTACACTAGGTATAAGATAACTGTTTGAAATATTTAAATAACATTGTCAAGTTGTTTTAAGCGAAGTGGAAAGAAAAATTAACGATTGAACTGGCAGGCATAGCCTGTTATACTCTGGAAAAACATCAGTAGCTGACTTGGTCTCCGGAAGTGAACGGGTTGTATGGGTACACAGCACGACTGATGCTTTGAGGAAAAAAACTGAGGAGTGCTGAAGACAGTCATTTTAAAGGTAGTCTTCTTCTATTACATAGGCAAGAGCTTGAAGGAGGTCAGCTGAACTGCAAGCTTTTCAGAGATTCCTTTTCCAAGGAAGTAATTTAAAAATCTGCTGTTTTCAACCGTCTATTTGATTTACTAAAATAAGAACAATTCAGACTACTGAACAGTTTATATTGACAGTTGTACAGATTGTTCTTGGACTATATAAAAGTGGTTATATGACAGCTAGGTTATAAATGTAGTAGTTTTCAATCCAAATTCCACACTTACACTTGAGGTGTGACAGTATGTGATAATTCACTTCTGGTGAGTTGATTACTGCCCCTAGACTTCTAATTCACTTGATAGGTGGCAAAATGATGCTGTTTTCTGTTTTGCACTGTCATGTGAAAATTTCCATATACTTTGGGGAATACACCTCAAGAAACTTCTTCAAGGATGTGCATAATCATTTTTAGCTTGTCAAAGCAAGCTGTGAGGGCTGAAGGTGAGGACTGTGGGGAGTAATGCTTGGTGATGTAAAGGGCTTTGCTCTTTCCTAACACTGTTAGTCAAAGCACTTGAAAGTAGTGGTGTGCTAGATTTGCAAGTTTTAGGCTGTTTCCTCAGTTGTTGCATCTTGGTTACTGTCTCAGCAGAATGTAACTGCTCACCCATGATTTAGGTGAAGCAGTATTTGTAGGCAAAGTGCCTTGTGCCACCATATGTGGGTGTTTTTTTTGTTTGTGTTTTTTTTTTTAAAAAAAAAAGACTGATTCTCATCTTAAATCTGAGGAACCCAAGGTAGTTGGTGAACACCTTATGAACACCTTATAAGTTAAACAGTTGTTTCAACCAGTAAAACAGTAACGATTTATAAAAATGTGAAAGTCACTGTGACTGTATACAGGAATTATAATGCTCAACTACAAAATTTTTAGTCATTTGACTGTCCTCCAACGGGAGCTGTATTCAGTCCTTTCACTTCCACCACTCAGCATTGGAAATTAGCGTAAGATTTGAAGAAAGAAGGAAACTGGTCAAAAAAGATACCTTTTTTCCTTTTGACTATGTTGCTGTGATTGTTTACGGTTACAAATGGGGTTCATAAATAACAGGTCATTCTTCCTAGTCTGTTTTCTTCAGACACCTTCATAAGGGAGTCAGATTGATACTGTGCTTCTAGTGAAAAATTAAAAGGAAATTTAAAACCATAATCTTCACAGTTCTGCAGAAGATGCCAGTTTCAGTGTTTTACAAGGAGTTTGGGCCTGTAGCTATTGAGAAGTCTTGATGGCTTTCTGACTCCCATGCTCTCTTCTTTATGGAAACCCTAGTCACCTTTATGTAAGATAACAGTGAATAATCTGTTTTCACCTGTGCTCCATATGCTTGTCATCCTTTTCTAGTTCTGAAACTTTGGAGATGGAACACTGAGTTTTTTGGGGATTGGGGGAGAGTTGTCAAGAATGTGAGCTGGAAAACAGATCAAAACGGTAAGGAAGGGATTATGTAACCATGAGCTGTTGATTAAACTTTGAGTGATTTACATAATCACTCCTGCGTAGGCTGCATTTTGTAAGCAAATGCTGCTGCTTTTTCTGTACTTAGCAGTCATACATTTGTGCTGATGTGCCAGCATTTTAACACAGTGAACCAAATGAAGAGTTTTCTATTGATGGTTACATAACCATATGGAAAATATACTATGGTTATTGTACAGGCTCTCTGTAGCAGGGATTCATAATCATATTATCTCAGTTCCATACTTCCAGATAAGTCCTTTAATTTCAGAGTCCTCCAACTGTTTGTAATGCAAATTCTATTTTTGCACCATATTAACAAAGTGCTTTAAATTCTGTATGTATATGATATCTGCTAATTTACTACGTATTCTCAGCTGTGCAGCCCCATCTGTTAAAACTTTGACACTTTCCCACTGAGGAGAAACAGAGAAAAACTGCTTGCTACTCCATGGCTCTTCTGGAATTCCATTGTATTCAATTTACGCATTATCAAATTGAAAAATTGCACAAGTTTAACTTATTCAGGCAGTTAATGATGGTCTTTTCTATTTGCATTTAAATTTTTGTCATCATTTCTAATGATAGTAACATGCAAATTTATCTCAAATTCAGTATAAAATTTAAAGTAGGCATTTTAAAGAGTTTTATTATCTCTTAAGAGGCTGTTAACTTTGTAATAAGACATCTGGATCATGTGGGAATGCAGACGTTAAAATCTGAGCTCTTAGCTGCTAGCATGTAATTGTTACAAATATACAAGGTACACGCAGAAAAAATACGGCAGAGGTATCACTTTCATGATTAACATTTTAATTTCTGTAAGGTTTTTCTTAAGGAGTGTAACAATAACATCTGAAAAAGCTCAGAATTAAAAGATTAGATTGTAGTCCTGCAACTGTACAAGATGTTGCTATTCCACCTCTCAGTTAGTAAAACGACAGGGAAGTATCACTAGAAGAGTCGTAAGCCTCATTCTCACTAGGGTTCTGTCTGTGCTGCCTTTGTCATTGTATGAATCATTATGTTGGCTTTTGAAAACTTCGTTTAAAGTGGAGTATTCCGTATGAGTACAGTCAGTCTTTCTTGGGGGATCGATGAGATAATTTTGTTGGTGGTTGAAATGCAAAATATTTCATATGCAGGTATAAACTCTGGGTCATCTTGGAGTTAGAACTTTACTGCTATAATTTCATCAAATAACTGTTTTTGTTATCCTAAATTCATGCTTGAAATGCTGAATCTGTCTCAACTGGATAACATGCTGTTTGTAGCTCCTGCTGTAGTTGATGGCATAGCAATTTGTGGCCTCAGTACAACTTTCAGAGAAATGAGGTGGGGTAGGAGAAATAGAAGCAGAACAGTGACATAGGTTCCAGAAAATGTTGGGTTGAGTTTCATATGAGTCTGCTTAAGTGTTATTTGTTGAAGAAAAATGAAAAAAAATAGAAGGAAATTGAAAGATCAGTACTTTACTAAGCAGAATTTCTGATTTTTAAATTTTTTTTTTCCTTGCAGCACAACACTAAATTTGTAATGAAATGGAGTCTGGGTCAAGCTCTTTTCGAGTGGAGTTTCCAGATTTTTCTAGCACCATTTTGCAGAAGTTAAACCAGCAGCGCCAGCAAGGTCAATTATGTGATGTGTCCATTGTAGTTCAGGGCCATCTCTTCAGAGCTCATAAAGCTGTTCTTGCAGCTAGTTCACCTTACTTCTGTGATCAAGTTCTCCTAAAAAACAGCAGGCGAATAGTCCTGCCTGATGTGATGAATCCCAGAGTATTTGAAAACATTCTTCTGTCTACCTATACAGGTCGGCTGGTAATGCCTGCTCCAGAAATTGTTAGTTATTTGACAGCAGCAAGTTTCCTTCAGATGTGGCATGTAGTGGATAAATGCACTGAAGTGCTAGAGGGGAACCCAACAGTTCTGTGTCAGAAGATGAACCATGGCAGTGATCATCAGTCCCCAAGCAGTAGTAGTTACAATGGCCTTGTTGAAACCTTTGAACTTGGCTCTGGAGGACAGACGGAATTCCACAAAGTGCAGGAACTAAGGGATGGTGAAAATGAAGAAGAGAGCTCTAAAGATGAATTGTCATGTCAACTGACAGAACATGAGTACCTTCCCAGTAATTCTTCAACAGAACATGATAGACTTAGCACTGGAATGACAAGTCAGGATGGTGAAGAAGGAACTAGTGATAGTGCAGAGTATCAGTATACCAGACCTATGTATAGCAAACCCAGCATCATGTCTCACAAGCGGTGGATCCATGTGAAACCAGAAAGATTTGAACAAGATTGTGAAGGTGTTGATAATCCTTATGATGAACACCAAGTTTCTGAATCTATGAATGCCATTCAGGCAGATCATTCAATCCAGTCTTCAGGTGTTGAAGACTTTCATATAGGCGACAAAAAGATGGAAGCAGAATTTGATGAACAGGCAGATGAAAGTAATTACGATGAACAAGTTGACTTCTATGGCTCTTCTATGGAAGAATTTTCTGGTGAAAGGGCAGATGGAAATTTAAGTGCTCACAGACAGGATCTTATGATAGCAGCAGGCTATGGTGAAGGCATTGAAATGGCTACGGGAATTAAAGAAGAAACATCCCTCACTGGATTCTCACATGCTGATAAGCTGTATCCTTGTCAGTGTGGTAAAAGCTTTACACACAAAAGTCAGAGAGATCGGCATATGAGTATGCACCTTGGTCTTCGACCTTATGGCTGTGGTGTCTGTGGTAAGAAATTCAAAATGAAACACCATCTTGTAGGCCATATGAAAATTCATACAGGCATAAAACCATATGAGTGTAACATCTGTGGGAAAAGATTTATGTGGCGGGACAGTTTTCATCGGCATGTGACCTCTTGTACCAAGTCATATCAAGCTTCTAAAGCTGAGCAGAGTACTACTGAGATGAACTAAGATGTTAATGCTTACATTTGTTTAGTAGAGTAAGCAAAATAAACTATTATGCAAATAATGTCTGGTACTTGCTATTGTAAATTCTCAAAAAACCAAGTTTTAATGATGACACTGGTGTAAGCAGACCAAACTTTTGTTTTATTTTCCACAGTATTACTGCAGATGTTTGATGTGTGAAGTGCAAATGGTTAATCTGAAAGGTGCTTGCAAAATGAGGTCTAAGGTCTTTGTGACATTGACTGTAATCACAGAAGTTTTTAGAAGCCCTGTTGTTTTTCCAAGTCTTTTAAATTCACAGTAAACCCAGCTCTAAATTGACCCAAATCGTGCAAAAACTTACATGAAGCAAGAATTCAAGTAGCCCTATTCAATGAAAAAGAGAACTAGGATGATCAAACCAGGTTATATGATTCATATTTTAATGAAAAAAAATTAGCATTCCACCTCAAACTGGAGACTGCAAACATACTTAACATACATCATTAGGTAGCCTACATCATTAAATAGCCTTTGCTGTATTGCTTAATGAAAGGCTGTATTAAAGACGGTTTGGCTTTCCTTTATCTGTCTTCCATTTTTTATCCATCTTCAGTAAAACAAATGTTGTGCCAATTCCTATTTAGAGTCTGTAAAGCACTTAAATATAGTTGAGCACTATATAAACTGCAATCTGTATTGGAATATAATTTGTCTTTGCTCCTCTAGGGTCTAATGCTACATGACTCTTGGCTTGACTAGATTTTGATTGCTGCATTGTGAGAGCTTCTAGAAGTGTGTGTAATAAGTATGTCATCCAAAAAAAAAAAAAAAAGTAACATTTGGAACTTATCCAAATTAATCAAACATTTAAAATGTAGTTTTTTGTTCAGATTTTTGTGGCTTACTACAGTAGCAAGTACCAAACTCCGTGGATTCGCGAATTGACTTTTTGTTGGTACGGAAACTTCTTTGAGAACTTCTACCTAGTTTTAGAAACCTGCTTTAGGAAAATGATTTAGTCATTGATAGGTATCTATACTTTTAATTCTTTACTCTTTGAATAGTAAGAACTATAATACAGATTCTTGGTACGGAACTACTGTGACTGGTTACATGTGATCACAAGCAGCCAAAGTTGTTTACCTCTTCATTTGGAGTTGCTTGTGGAACAAAGTAGAAAGTATGGTATTTGGCTCTATTCATGGTACTGCAGAACATGGTACCATGCTCACATCTGAAGTCTGGATTTTTGCTGGGAAAGTGGCACTTCTTCATTAGGATGAGGACCTATATGCTGGGCTCTCATTCTTGGAGGTATATGGAGGAGTGTTTGTAGTTGAGAGATGCTGCCAGCTCTGCAGGTGGAGTGAATGCATCAGTTGTAAAGGTGGCAACAGGATTTTGGGGTTGAAAGCTTAATGCAGTCCTATGCAAAAGCAGTTAACCCTTCTTTGTAGTTTACTGAAACATATCGTAAAAAGGAAAGAGCCTTTAGAGCATACCTAGACTATAATAGAAAGAGGTGATGTCCAAGTCCAGTGCTGGTAACATGGGGGAAAAATGTTAACCAGCATTGAAGGCCTAAGCCTGTCTGGCCCCAATTTATGTATTGGATTCTGCAATATGCAGGATAATGTATTTTAACAGATCAACCTGTATGGTGAAGCAAAACCACACAAAGATAATTACTATTTAGATGCTTTTTTGAACTCCCAGTTACAAATTGTCTTAAGACACAACCAAACTATCCTGAACATGAATGTTCTCACACTCTGGGGGTTTACTACTCAGTGGGCTGTAATTGCTGTAACTTCTTTTCTGGCATTCTACTTACAAACTTTGATTATTTTTTTTTTAAGAGGCTCTTAATTCTCAGTCTTCTAATGCTTCAGATATTTTTCATATGGAATTTTGTTAAAACAGATTATTCCCAAATATGATGAACCCATTGCTGGCAATGGGCATGAATGGTCAGCACCACAGAGTTCCTGTTCTTAGCACTTAACTGAGCTCTACAGTATACCATGGTGGCCATATATAACCCTTGTAATCAAGGTAACTAAACAGGGATTTGCTCACTAACACTGTAACCTGCTTAATGTATAGAAGCACTTTGTATTAAAAAACAAACCATAAAACTTTATAAGTATGTTTTTTAAACTTAGAAATTATATTCCCTTTATGGTTTGTTTTCACACTGCTAACACTGTCTTTTTTAATATTAGAAAAAATAAATTATAATGCTTGCCTGTTTACATGAGTGTAGAGGAAAGGGTTCTTGCACTCAGTGGCCCTATTTTTCCATTCTCCAAGGCCTTACTACATACAGGGTGTCATTTCTGCAAGTACCATCATCGCATTTGAGGGAAGGTATTCTCATACTCATTTCAAGAATGATCTTGTATATTACATTAGTTCTCAACCCCTTTCAAATTGTCACTTCAGTGTTGCAGAAAAAGGTTAAGGGTGCCTCTTCCCATTTAAACATAAAAAAGGCTGGTCAGAAACACCAGGCTGGAAACCATGGTCAAGCAAAAAATTATTTGTGTTAAACCCAGACCATCCTACAGAGCTGCTAGCAAAACTGTTTTTTTTACCAGCTTGGAATGACTTTTATATGGGACATTTCAAAGTTAAACATTACTCCTATTTACAGTTAGATTACTTTGAAATAAAGCTTTAAAATAAAATGTACTGCGAGAGACACTTTAAAGGTTTTATAACAGGTCCAGTAGATCATATTATAGAACCATGTCATTTTTTAATGACTTAGCATAAATAGTAACTTTTTAATATTTGGCTGTTACTGTTTTACCCCATATTATGACATTGTCTTGAAAGCCCAACAACTGTTGCTCCACCGATGTTGTAGCACTTGGCTTTCTGATGTTAATTTACATGAAATCAATTGATAGCAGGAAAATACTGATATGGTTGTTATGACATCTAGTTGAGAGGGTTGATGATTTAAGGGAAGCTTGAGATACATGTCTAAAATCCTTAGTTTTGCTTATCACAGGCAAAACCGTTCACTTGTGTTTTTCCTGAATTTAATTTATTGCCCTTTGACAAACTTTAATCACTGATTCAGGTACTGGGGGCAAAGATAATAAAAAAAATCAGTTAAACACTTAAGGAGGCATCTTTCCTCCCTCTTCCTCAGGCTCAACTTAAGTCTAACACCTCTCCTCCCTGCTTTTGTAGTCTGCTTCCCTTGTTTTCACCAAGAGTTAGAGTTGCACTCGGTCCATGCCAGTTCTTTTAGTGAGGCGACAGATCACACAGGAGGTTGGGCTGGTATGCATGCTGGCTTGTCTGACGCTCTTAATTTCTTGTTGGGTGTCCTCTGCTGCTCTGAGTTGGTCAGTGTCACTGTTCCTGGTGACACTGGTCCATGGTCCCTTCAGGAATGTGCCTGTTCCAGCTTGGGTCTCCTATGAGCCTCAGTTACTTCAGAGGCATACGTGCTCTGGCATGGCTTACCTATATGCCAAAGTCCCCTCAGAAGTGAATCTCCTCAGGCATGGAGTGTGTCCTTCTGGGAGTGTGTCTCTATATGTGTCCTCAGTGTCTTCTCCATGTGTTTTCCCAAGAGAGCTCTTCAGTTTCTCCGCATGTGTTTCTTCCCCAGGAGTATCTTCTCCTAATGTGTCTCCCTGCACCTCTTGCTGGCAGCTGCCACTCTTTCTTAAATATGTTTAAGCAGAGGCACTGTTGAAGTTCTGGCATGCAGTGAATTGGTTACATCAGTTCAGCGCAGGCTAGAACCTGTTTTGACTAGCAAGGGCAGTTTGCAGCCTCTTGCCACAGGCCCTGCTACTGAAACCCTGCAATTTATGGCCAATACAGTTGTACATAGCAAACCAAGATATGCAGATTCAGCTTCCATTATACTCTTAATCTTCGCTAATGGAGTGGTCTTGTTCCAGATACAAGAAATTATTTCTTGTTTATGTGGAGGAGGGAAGCGATCCATATATATATATAATATGAATACATATGTATATGATAAATTTCATTAATCTTCCCTTAAGCTTCTTCACCTTTAATGATATGGCTTAGAAACATTTGTGTGTTTTTTTATATTGCTCGCTGTTGGCTGTAGTAAAGTGAACGTCTTCTGAAACCAGAATCGTTGTGCACACAGGAGGCTTTCAGAATTTCCTGCTACTGTGAAGCCATTCATTCTCCTATCAGTGGTAAGAACACTTAATGATACTACAACTAAGTTCCTTTTCATTCCATTTTGTAACTAAGATTTTAATTACCATGGAATCTTACGTGTAACTGCAATTCTGAAAAATTCAACTCTTAGCAGGGTTAAGATCTCTGCTTAGGTGTATCTCACCCTTTTGGGGGAGGAGGTTCCTATTTCACACACCACTGTTGGGATTTTGTTTTGTTTTGTTTTTTAAACATTACCATGTTTGTTTTAAGGGTGAGCAGGTAGACTCTAGAAGTTACTGTCGGTACAATTTTTGGTCTTAGCTTTTTTTCATCTGAGGTCTTTCTGGGGTTGAGAAACTTTGTCTCGTACCAAAATCAAGGTGGATGATCAAAGGCTGATGTATTGTGTTTCTCATTATAAAAAGAATACTTGATGCCCCTGTGTTATTGAGCCTGAAAGAACGGAGGCACATCAGATCTTGTAATCTCAACATTTTTGCATTGGTGCCAGAAAGGTGACCTGTCTCTGAATTATGAGAGCCTACAGCAGTGTCTTGAGTGTTTTGCTGTAACAGAGTTAGAACCTTACTCAAAGCAACAAAGGAAAGTTGTGGGGTTTTTGTCAAATGCTTCACTGGATAGCTAGGCTTCTTTAGCTATAAGCTGTAAACTGTCAGTGCCCTGGGGGAAGATGCTGGAAAACAAAATGGCATATTTTTAATGTGATTAAATTGTAAGTTCTGATTTTTGCTTGAAGCCTGTGTCTGTCAATTGCTGCTCCTTTTTTTATTATTCATGGGATTCCATATTTCTTCCAGACATGTAACTTTATGCAAGTCAAGTGAATCTTCCTTAATGAGCTATATATTTTTACTCTAAAGTCATTTATAATAGTAAATTTGCATATCTTGATATTTTGTGAGATGTTATGCCTGTATTGCAGAGGTTGGATAGTTTTGTCTATAAATATTGCTGTCCTAATTGTACAGCATGGTTTTAATTTAATGTTACTGTTCAATATTTTCTTCTTATAGAAGAGTCCCATGCCCCTTTTTTGTATGACATGTTTTAATAAATGTTATCTGTCAACTTTGTAAATGTTTTCTTAAGCTTGAATGAAAGGAATGCATGTCTAGTACTAGTATTTAATATTTCACTTTTGCCAAAACGATAAGTGCTCAAACAAAAGTACAAATCCAAAAGTTGTTGATATATAACTTTATTAAATATATAACGAAAAAGTGTATCTAGTAATGTGTCTTCTTGAAATGTTGAGAACATGCCAGCCTAGCCTAAGAAAACACTAAACTAAAACCTGATTTTTATAACACAGTAAGTTGGTGGATTTGTGGAATTGGGCCCATTTCTTTGGTGCCTAGGTAATTAGTTCCCAAGTTAGTCCACATTTATCAAATGGGTTTTATTATAACTTTTTTTCAGAATGGTGATCTCTAAAATTTACAATACAGAATGTACGGGCTGATAGGAAAATTCCAGAACATCACTTCATAGTAGCAGCAACTGCATATCTAAAAATTTGAAGTAGGTACAGATAACACAGATTTTTTTTTTCTTGTCTGAGTATAAAAGAAATTTCATACTGTGAAAAAGTATTCAAGACTGAGTTTCCATTATCTTCCCGTGAGGATTCTTCCTCTCTCTGACTAAATTTAGGTACTCTTACTGAACGATTTACTTTGTCCAGCCTCCATGTATTCAGTCCTCATGGAACTGTCATAGCTGATGCTTCTTACTCAGCAGCTTAATTCTTGCTATCGAAACAAAAAATGAGCTCATGGTCATTTAAAGCATATTCAGCTCATTCCTGGAGAAATCAGGATCTGTGTACCACACTCCTCCATCTTCAGTGACCTTAAATGGAATATGGTACAAGCAAATTCATTTCCTCTTGCTGTTGGTTACGCTTGCTGAATACACGTAACAAGCCCAAAGTATTCTGGCTGTTCAGAACTAGTCATTTGATTTTCTTTTATATGAGTGAGTAAATACCATTTGTGCATCTGTTATTTAACTTTGTTATTTATGCCCTGATCAGGATGCTCCCACAGGCTGCTACTTTATCTGATTACCATTCGGCACCTAATTTCTGAAGACCGTCTTCTGTATGTTTTACAGGGAGAGGAAGACATACCTCCGGAAGACAAAATGTGATGTCCAAAGTTAGACCATGTGGCTACCCCAGCAGTACCTGCTGGCAGCAGTCACTCTGACTTTTATCAAACGGTACAGGAACTGTCTGGTAAAGCAGTGAATTGATGGTGCCCTATGTGAACTACAAGCACGTGCAGGATAATTTCAGAAAAGATGTGCGTGCTTGCTAAAGCAATTTGTGTAACTTTGAAGGACAGTGTAACACAGGTGAACTTTTTAATTCCTCATTTACACTGCTCAGGAATGGTGGTCATTCCCAGCGGGGGTGGGGGTCCTCTCCCAAAAGCTGCCAGGGCCCTGTGTCACGCGAAGCCCTCTCAGGACTTGGTGACAGAAAAATCATAGAATCATTAAAGCTTTAAAAGACCTCTAAGATCAGTTCCAACCATCAACCTAACACCACCACACCTGCGAAACTGTGTCCCGAAGTGCCACGTCTACATGGTTTTTGAACCCCTCCAGGCATGGTGACTCCACCACTTCCCTGGGCAGCCTGTCCCAATGCCTCACCATTCTTTCAGTAAAGACATTTCTCCTAATATCTGATTTAAACCTCCGCTGATGCAACTTCAGGCCAAAAATCAGTCTCTCAAAATGCGGGAGATTGTGCCATTCCAGAAATGAGCACTTCTGATGTAATGCTAAGCTGCTCATGGTAATCTTGGAAGGCTTTTGTTTTCATTTTTTTTTAAATTCTCCACTACTGATGCATTTCTGAAGCCAGAAGAATTTTGAACGCCGTGAGGATTCTGGGAAGGGGTTTGCCC